AGATGGTCTCTTTGGTACGCCCCCTCCTCCATTGCCAGCCCTCTTCCTTGTTGACAGTCTTGTCAAACTGGTTGAAAACAACAAAGTCCATGCTCAATAATCCAGGTATAAAATCCAACATTTTTCAGTCAGGTCATCTGGACAGTTTCTTTTTTTTTTTTTAAGTATGGTTGTATTATATGTATGGTTAATTATTTTATTTTATTTTACTTATATAATACAGTTGATGTTTTTCTTAGTTCATATCTTAGATGTTATTATTGTTTTTCTTATACATTTTATTGTTGGATGTAACTGGGACCTTGTGTACATAATTTCGCTCCACCACATGTACCACATGAGGTGCAAATGACAATAAAGAATCTCTGGCTCTGACTCTGATAATGTTTTTCTTACTGCAACATTTCAGATTTTTTTTATTTTTATTTTTTCGGCTGCTCCCTTCTTCAGGGGTCGCCACAGCAAACTAACTCGCACGAAGACTTGGTAATTACTTTTATACCGGATGCCCTTCCTGACACAACCCCAGCCCTCTGTGTGGAGCAGAGAGCTGCTATCTAGGGCGCCCGGGGGAGTAGATGGTGGGGGTTGCCCAAGAGCTCAGAGTGGGGCCAATGAATGTGGAGGCAGGTGTGGGTGCTTGACCTATCCCACACAGATTTTTGATGTTGTCGGTCTGTGGGGTTTGAACCGATGGCCTTCTCTAACCTCTGCGCCATCACTCCCCTTACTACAACATTTCTTATTGCTTGTCTTAAACCATGCAGCACAGCCAACTACAGCCATTGTCACCTTCATAATCCAGCTTTGCCATAAAAACTGTGCTCAAGCATCACACACAGCCGTGAACACCTTTAATGTAACCGTGGAGATCCAGAAACATTAAGCTCCCCGCCTATTCTTTGCTAAGAAAATAAATATGACCTCGTCATTTTTTGCAAGAAAAAACATGCTAACAAGTTCATTACTGACCACCATGGTTCTGTGAAGGCAGCACGCTGAGCCTTTACATAACAACTATAAACCAGCTTGTTAAAAATCTAAACAAAGGTTCTGTGCTGAATAATTTGTGTGTTTCTGTGTGCTGAGTTGTTCTGCAGGTCATTGATCATCGCCCCTCTTTCCCGACCCAGCCTTGATTTTGCAAAGAAGATTTACAATGATCAAAAGAAACGCACTGTCGTCGACGTAGATTAGTACCACTGACATAAACTGTCCTCTGCAGAACTCATACATGTTGTGTCTCTCCTCTGCTGCTAATGTGACACTTTACCTGCATGAGGCAACGCACATGCTGGCAGACAAAAAAGCTGATTAGCAATCCAGTTAGGGCCAAGAAAATAGCATCTAATCATGTTTAGTGCGTGATATCTTATAGCGTGTTTATTAGAACTCATTGATTCACCGAGGACACATTTCTGACACTATATAATCTTCTGAAGAAAAGCTCCCTGCTGGAGATGGACCTGCTGAGCATGAGGAAATCTAAAGATTTGTTCACACATGCTGTGATTTGATGTGCAGTGTGAGGAGACTATATTGTTGTTTTAGTGGTTTTACTAAAGAGTCTGATTAACCATTTGTAAAACAGTATGGATTGTATGTGTGTGTGTATACGTGTGTGTGCGGGGGATTGTGTGTGCAACAACTCTCTCCATTACAGCTGAGCACAGTGGCTTGGAGCAGAGAGTAAGCTCCTCTGTGATCATTAGATTGTGGCATGGCAGGAGAGCATCCTCTAAAAGAGGCTTCATTTATTTTTTATTCATTTTTAAAGACAGCAGCTGCAGCGGAGGAGCCCTACAGTGGTGGACAGAAGGCAGCGCTGCATTAATGATCAGCTTAAGTTCCTGTTGGGGGGAAAGCTATGAAAGAGAATCAAAACGTCGATCATTCAGCATGCTGATAGAGTTGGCTGTATTCACAGAAGAGCAGTTACTGGGACTTCAAAGGGATCATTTAGCTCATTTGAAGTGGAGCTACTCATTCAGTACATCACCTACAGGAGCAGCTGCTTGGCTCACCTGAAGTTTGAAGAACACAGAGAACATGTGGGTTAAATGTAAAACTGAAGAAAAAAAAAAGTTGAAACTATATAGATATTTTCAAAGGGATCGTTTAGATTGATGTAGTGTTCAGTGGAGTTGTCATTAATAATCATTGTCTTACTTGCAGCAGCAAGTGTTTGATCAGACTGAAATAACAAGCAGCGTTCTCTCAAAGCAGACGAGCTAACAACGAGCTCGACCAGGACCAGCTTCAAGACATATTCAGTTATAGCAGTTTCATGCAAATGCTATTTATTATTATTATTATTATTATTATTATTATTATTATTATTATTATTATTATTATACCTTTATTTATACAGGTTAGTTCCCATTGAGCCTCAAAGACTCATTTACAAGAGAGACCTGTTACATACAACATACAGGCAGATGAGAAAAGGGAACACGAGGAAGGAGTAAGCCAAAAAAAATCATTTCTCACACCATTTCCTGGCTGGGAAACTGTGTGAAAGATGAAAAAAAAAAAAATAATAAAGACCTAGCAACATACAACTGCAACATACAATGACATAATACATTTATGCATAGTGGTTGACAAAGGCGGTGAGTTATCCATAAACACTCCAGAAAGTTCCAAAGTTCTGATAAGATGGAACAGTGTCTATCAGCATTGTGGTTCTGATAAGGCCACAGATGTCCTCGGGGGGAGGTTAGAGCTTCTAGTTTACATATCCTCCAGGAGCAATTTGAGATAAGTTGACTTGTCCAAGGCCAGCGGAGAGGCCAAATTCAGATTAACAACAATTGTTTGGGCCGCCAGACTCTGTTTTCTGTCTGCCTTCAAGTTCTGCTGATATACTCAGTGGTGAATCCAAACAGACAGAATTAGTGGACATTCTGCCCGGTCCGTGCTTGATTTAGCATTCTTCAAGATTGAATCCTTCATGCTGGGGAGTTCCAGGAGCCGCAAATGGCTTACAATTTTCAGAAATCGTATCCAGCTTGCTGTTGAGCTTGTTAAGTATATGAGTGAGAGCTCTAGGCACAGATTAATCCTTCACATAAGTCTGGCAGCTTTACCATGGCCGAAACTGCTTCTGACGTCTTCGTAATTTGTCGATATCCAAGGTATCCACCGATTCCAAAAAGCAGAAACCCTGTTATCATAAATCCAGTAATGTATATATCTTCTACGTTCTCCACGGACAGCACAGATAGGTACACCATCTTCCACTCACTACAAGAATCATTGACATACCCAGCTGCATGGGTCCATTCAGGGCATGAGGGCTCTCCAGCACCCTGTCGTCTGGTGGAAAAAATTTTTATCAATTGTGTCGAGGGACCAGCTGACCAAATCCATAATAATTTCTGATTCAGAAAATGTGTAAAGAGAGGTTGACAGGACAAGAGAGCAAAAAAAGCAGGAGGGAGGGAGGGAGGGTAAGAGCGACCGTCTTCGTCTAAGCCAAAATAAAGAATTGATTTTATGCATCTTTACATCATCAAGTTAGCATTAGATGGCTGTTTACGTAGACGTTGGTGGTTATTTATACTGTGGTACATCAGTAGTGAAGGTCTGTGTGAAACTTATATTGTAAAGTAGTAATGTTATGGAAAATACTGAAGTGCCAAAGTTAAATGTTTTATAGCAGTTCAAGCAACCCTTGTTTAACTGATTTTTCTCTGCTTCGCATTTGTGTCCAGAACACCTGATCTGTTTTGCAACTTGAGTTTCACGTGGATCTAGGTAATGATCTTCTGTCTTCAGTATAAATATTTGTTTATTATAAAAGTGTCAACAATGTAAAGATTTACAAACTAGAGTTTGGACGAACCATCGTTACATTTAACAACAAAGTCCATGCTCAATAATCCAGGTATAAAATCCAACATTTTTCAGTCAGGTCATCTGGACAGTTTCTTTTTTTGTGCTGAAACATTTCGCCTTCAATCCGGAAGGCTTCATCAGTCAAGGAAACAAACCAGTTTGACACGACTGTCAATAAGGAAGAGGGCTGGCAATGGAGGAGGGGTGTACCAAAGAGACCATCTTATCACAAGCAAAACTGGTTTGTTCCACTTTGGAGTAAGCTGTTGGAGGAAGAATCAGTTTTGTTATGCGTTTCCTTGACTGATGAAGCCTTCTGGATCAAAGGCGAAACGTTTCAGCACAAAAAAGAAACTGTCCAGATGACCTGACTGAAAAATGTTGCATCATAACATTTCTACACCCTGCTTTGAAACTGGCTTTGTTCTGACTAGCCAATAGCTCATCTCCCCAGACAACACATCTGCATGACATTTCAAACTGATAGCACTCTGAACAGTTTCTTCTGCAGGTAAGATGTTGACTATTGGTAACTACTCCACAGAACACCACTTCAAAAAACTGAACTACTGTATTCCTTTGAGTGTATGTTTTCTTTCGAATGCTGTTTGTGTTTTAGCAGACAGCACTTTCCCACAAAGAACTGAAAGTGATTATTTTTACACAGATGTCCTCTCTTTAAATTCACTGTACCCCTCTGACAAAAGCAACTGGAGTGGTTAGTTTTTATCTTCCTGTTTGTGTGTTGCTCTGTATTTTCCCACTTTGTTTACAGGGATTTCTTTGGATTCTAAATATTAATTTGAAGCACAAAAGTTGAGATATGTTCCATATAGCAGCTCTTGTACTCAAAACAAACAAGTTTTTATGGAAGGTTTTCAATAAAAACTCTCCTCAAACCAAGTTTTCCTCTAGTTTGAGAAGAAGGATGCAGCAGCTTCAGTTTCCTGAAGTAAAATGTTCTTAACTTAGTACACTTTTACACCAGTTCTAAATGACACATTTAAATACCGTAACTATGATGCAGAGTTCAATCTCTCCAGCACTACTCTGTGGTTTTCCAAACATCTTCAACTACCACATCTGGTTTAATAGTAACCCACATCTGTAGACAGGTCCTTCATACAAATCCCCCCTCTAAGAAACCTAATAATCCCTTTAAATTTGAGGAGCTTAAAAAATAACCTTGGCCACAGATTTGTTTGAAGTTTAATCAAAATTAAATAAAAAAATATGCACTCACAGTTCATTTATCCAAACTAAGTGGTGGAAATGAAACGAAACTGTACATGCTGAACGGTTGTATGACTGTATTACAATGATTACATTCAGTTCAAATGGATAATAGAGATGGCAGTAGCACTGGGTCAGAGTTCATATTGGAGTTGATTTGATACATTGGGGGAGGTTTGTGGACTTGGCTGGCTATAAGGAGCTCAGTATGAATCAGTCTGTCCAGAGACACGTGATGTTTGATGACTTATTTGTTGTCTTATTGAAAGACCGTACCAAGGAGCAGTTTCAGGAGGGTAAAAGTGTCACTGGTGTAGCTTTGTGCTGTCAGGCTTCTCTAAATCACCACCAGAGGTGAGCTAAAGTCAGACTACATGGCTCTCCATGACACGTGGACAGAAGTTACACTGCTGTCTCTCTCTAAAACACTGGCAGGATTAGTCCTCTTAGCTCATCAACACCACACCCTCGTACAAGTGTAATTCATGGTGACGCAAAACTGACATTCCCTGTTGAATATGAGTCATCAGCACTTGGCAGTTTCTGCCCCCCCTCGCCCTTAACAAGACCCCCATCATCACTGTGGACTGTTTTCGGTTTCTCGGCACCTCCATCACCCAGGACCTCAAGTGGGAGCTGATCATCAGCTCCCTCATCAAGAAGGCTCAGCAGAGGATGTACTTCCTGCGACAGCTGAGGAAAGCCAAGCTGATGGTGCAATTCTACACAGCCATCATCGAGTCCATCCTCAGCTCTTCCATCACGGTGTGGTACGCCAGGGCCACTGCCAGGGACAGACACAGACTGCAGTGCATTGTGGACTCTGCGGAGAAGGTAATCGGCTGTAGCCTCCCATCACCTGTACGTTTCCAGGACTATGGGGCGAGCAGGTTGGATTACAGCTGACCATTCTCACCCTGCATGTAAAATATTCCAACCACTCCTCTTGGGCAGGAGGATTCGGACCAGAACCTCTCGCCATAAAAACAATTTCTTCCCCACTGCCATCGGACTCTTGAACACTCATAATCACGTTACTTTATAACTCTGCTTTGGTCACTTTATCACTGTATTTTAACTGCACTACTCCAATTGCACATTTTTTTTTCTTAGTATTGTATTGTATTGTATTTTATTGTGTTGTGTTGTGTTGTGTTGTGTTGTATTGTATTGTATTGTATTGTATTGTGTTGTGTTGTATTGTATTGTATTTTATTGTGTTGTATTGTGTTGTATTGTATTGTATTGTGTTGTATTGTATTTTATTGTGTTGTGTTGTATTGTATTGTATTGTATTGTGTTGTATTGTATTGTATTGTATTTTATTGTGTTGTGTTGTATTGTATTTTATTGTGTTGTATTGTATTTTATTGTGTTGTGTTGTATTGTATTGTATTGTATTGTGTTGTATTGTATTGTATTGTATTTTATTGTGTTGTGTTGTATTGTATTGTATTGTGTTGTATTGTATTGTATTGTATTGTATTGTATTGTGTTGTGTTGTGTTGTGTTGTGTTGTGTTGTGTTGTGTTGTGTTGTGTTGTGTTGTGTTGTGTTGTGTTGTGTTGTGTGTTGTGTTGTGTTGTATTGTGTTGTGTTGTGTTGTATTGTGTTGTGTTGTATTGTATTGTATTGTGTTGTGTTGTGTTGTGTTGTATTGTATTGTATTGTATTGTATTGTGTTGTGTTGTATTGTATTGGTGTACATATGTTTTCTTTTATCTTTTATTCGCACCTCTATGCCGAAGCAAGTTCCTAGTCTGTGAATCCTGTTCAATGGCAATGGCAATAATTATCTGAATCTGAATGCCTCCTACTCCAAACATGACCTTTGCTTTGGTGTTAAGGACTAAATGGGACAATGAATCCACAGTCCATCTGATGCCATCAAGATCAGAGATTCAGATGAAAACGGTACGCTGTAAAAAGTCCAATACTTGTGTCAAGATAATAGATGTAGACATGGGGTTCTGTTATACTTGGCACACAATCGCTCTCTTAAGCAGCCATTGACCTGCTGGTTCCAACACTGGGCCACCAGTATGCCTTCATGGTGGGCGACTGGTCCAACATGGAAACCAACAACGCAACCTCTATGTCAACTGCTGGTAATACTAATTGCATCTACGAGTCATCCCGTGTGTCCGGTGACCTTCACTCAATGTTTTGATTTACTGTCGGATGTTCCAGCAACTAGCTGATAACACTATCGCTTCTCTCATGATGCCACCATACATGTCCTCTGGTGACCATTCTGAACATGCTAACTCCATACACTCACTGGTCTACATGTGAACTAAATTACGTCTAAAGTGAACCCTTCCTTCTGGGGACTAAACTTTTTTGTCAATAAGTGAAAAAAGAAAGATTTGCTTCTCACCATCAGCTTCCATTTATGTTTTTTTCTCCAGACTTTGATTGACACTGTTCTAATAATCAGCTAAGTATTTACTTATTCTTGCGTGAGACTTTCAATTCTTTCATGGGCTGATGAATTTGAAAGCAATTTATCAACGCTTTGTGAAGGCAAGAAGAAAGGTGAGAAAAGTGAACTGTTGAACTATTTGAATTGGTAGAAGTGAAGCCGGATAATGCGGTGTAAAAGCCGGCTCTCTGGGGTCAAATTTAACCAACATATAAAACGTGTTTTACTATTTCATAAATCCTTTAAACCCTGTTTATAGTGGCAGCATATACAGAGATTTTCATTCTAAGCAAAGTGTTCCTACTTTATTCTGCCACAGAGGTAATTTTAATAGAGGCAATGTTTTTTTTATCTCTTGCATTTTTCTGTCACATACCTTTAATAGTGCAGTAATTAATGTGCTCGGAGTACATTTCTGTGAAAATGTGTTTTTACCCTCGGAAATGCATTAAAGCAAAGTGATTCCACTTCTGGAGATCACAACGTTTTTCAATTAGACTCAATGCACAGAAGAGCCAGGTTCCCTTTTTTCTTTTCCTCCATGAATTCACCCAACGATCATGATTAATACCAGGATGTCTGGTTTCTTTAACTCATGCAGACAAGATCTAATTAAAGAAACATCGCTGCTCATGTCCACAGTGTTCGTCCTTGACTGCAATAAAGGAATACACAAAGATTAGCCCCATTCTACCTCAGTACTTTAAACTAGGTGGTATAAGGTTTTTAAAAGGACAGTTTAAAAAAAACAGCATGTTGCCAAAACCTAGTATTGCCTAGTACAGTAGTCCTTCGTTACTTTGGGGTTCATTTTTCGCAGACTCGCTCTATCGCGGTTTTTCAAAATAAGATTGGACATGACACAAAATTGGCTGACTGATGGATGAGGCGCACGATGGGCATTAATTATCTGTGACAGCCATTTTTAATCAGGTTAACTCCAAATGGTTAATAGTTGTAGATGTATAGCCAATGATTATGTTCTTAGAGTTTTATTAAAACCCATTTTGTATTTCATTAGATATTTTTGCTAATAGGGCCAGTAAATGGCAAAGTTTTAATCAAAGGTCATGAAAGATGGGTGAAATTAATAAAAAAAGTGGGGGCGGGGGGGATCCGTGGTTCCTCCCTCAGACAATTTGAAATAAAAGAGATGCCATTTCCTGCATTTTGGTGTATTTTAACAGATTGTTAAACATCTGTTGACATTTGATTAAATTGATTAAAAACAGGTCTCTCTTATAAATGAGTCCTGGAGGCTCAATGAGACTAACAACCTGTATAAATAAAGGTTGGATTGAAATTACTATTTTAGAGAGCCGTGAATTATAGCAGCTCCGATTCTGTCAAGCGTCCTATCCCCCCCCCCACACACACACACACATACACACACAAACTTCAATGTCCGACCTGAACTCTTCTCAGCTGAATTCAGTCCTGCGTGTTGTTCTGCTTCAGTCTCTATCACCACTTCCTTCAGGTGCTTCAGTTCTCTGTTGTCTAGCTAAGGACGATCATCCATCCATTTATTTTAGATAATAAGTTGAACTGTCTTTTTAACATTTTGATCCTGTTATTTTGAATGATTTTGAAACGTGATGTGAATAATACACATCAAACATTTCACTCATTTTTTTTTCTATAAGCTTTTTTATTTATTATCTTTGAAATGTCGCAGGAGTTCTGACACATTGGCAGTTGTGCGCGCTCTGCAGAGCTGTCTGGAGACGCTCCTGTGTATAAAACGTGCACAGTCTGCAGGGCGCACAGCTGAGCAGGTGAAGCTGACACCCCACTCACGTCAAAAATTCCAGTAAATACAATGAGTGGTTTGTGCCGTTAAAATGTTCATTTGTGCTGCTTTGGTTTCTGAGACACAGCTGAAGGTGAATGAAGACACTTCATCTCTGTGGGACATGCGGTCAGCGTCTCTGCTGGGCAGGAGCGTGTGCACGAGCTGGTGCGCCTGCTGAAGCAGTAACATCCACACCACAGAACATGGACAACGTCTCCTGTCATATTTTTAATAAATAATCAAGATTAAAATGCGCAATGACTTTGGACTTTTATGGGCGAAGAGATGAGCTGCTGGATCCGATTGAACAGTTGCCGGAACAAACACGGTGAAAATGAGGGCGTTCCTGGATCTTGTTCCGGCAGGATCCGGCTCAAATTAACCACTGAAGTAAACCACATAAAACAATCCAGAGTCACATTATGATGATGTTCATGACAAACTACATAAAACGTTTCACTTCAAACATCTAAAGCTTTCATATACTGATTATCAGTTTCTGAAGTTTTGCTGTTCAACGATAATTGATCACAAACAAATTAAAAAAATATGGGAACTGTTCAGTATTACAGTGCTGAAACATAAGTGAAACATCACAAACAAAAAAACTTAAAGATCTGATTACATTTTCATAAAATAATCAAGCTTTAGCATATTTGTACACATCCTGCTAGTTTTCAAACCTTTGTGTTTATCTGTTCATACTGACCACAGTGACTCTGATAGTCCATTAAAAACTGGAACCCACCGTGGCTCTACATGATGTCTGATCGTTGCTCCAACTCTCTGTACAATTATTCACTTGACCCGCACAGACCCAAATGTGGCACAGCCAGCAGCATAATGACCAGAGCAGAGGAAACTCCATCACAGTCGTAGTCTTTATTGGTCAGTGAGACAGCTGAGTCAAGCTGCTCCTCAGGCTATTCTCACTTCTTGCTGCAGATGTGCAGACTGAGCACTGAGGCTGCACTCATGCTGTGGTCACGACTGGCTTTCTCTTCTAGGAAAAAAGTAACCCAACTAACATTTATTTTACTCTACCGCCCCCGCAGAAAAACCTGAAGTCTTCAAATTTCACACAGAATTGCCTTCACCTGTGTGTCAACCACAGAGTTAACAGCTGTAATTGTTAAATGCTAAAATTAAATGACCTGCGAACAAACACATGGCCATGTAGGAAAGTCTGACCCCTGAAAATATGTTTTTCTTCTAAAGTGGTGCCAGTTAACTGGACTGCAGCGTCATTGTTGCTGAAGTTTGAAGTTTTACTACAGAGCAGGTGAAAATATAAACGTCGGGTTTGAGCGACGAGCGTCTAAACCAGCAGCATGAAAGTGAGTAAACACCCTTCATGGTGCCAAAACTGCTCTGACCTGTTGGGAGGAGCGACTCATCAGGATGCCTTGTTATGTCTGCAGCTGCCAGAGGGGAAGCATTCTTTACATTAATCTTCAGGTAGTGGGACATGTTTCAGTAACCTTTACATGAAGGTCAGAACCCATGTTTGATCGCAGAAGGTAAGAACAAAATCCACCCATCCATCCTTTATCTTTACCCGTTTATTCCATTTTGGGTCACGGGGATCGCCGGTGCCCATGTCCAGCAATCACTGTGCAAGGGGCGGGGTACACCCTGGACGGGTCGCAAGTCCATCACAGGGACACGTAGAGACAAACAACCATTCACTCTCTCACTCACACCTAGGGACAATTTAGAGTTACCAATCAGTCTAACATGCATGTTTTTGGTCTGTGGGAGGAAACCAGAGTACCCGGAGAAAACCCACGCATGCACGGAGAGAACATGCAAACTCCACCCAGAAAGGCCCCTGGACCAGGGTTTGAACCAAGGACCTGCTCGCTGAGAGGCAGCAGCTCTACCAGTTGCGCCACCGTGCTGCCCACACTTCCTAATCATATTTTTATTTTTTTTTTGTATTTGAATTATTTGTTTTTTGTTGTCTTTATGGCCTTCTTCATCACCATCTTCTTGTTCTTTGTCTTCATCTTCTAAACATAGTTGTCCATCATATGTACAGTATTTTATTGATGTGTTCATGTCTTTTTTTTCTTAACATCTAATCAAAACAAAACTATCAGTGACTCTGACTTCAGACTATTAGTTAAAACAAGTAAAATAAATGTAACTGTAACTATACTATAACTATAAAATCAAATAACAGATCTGAGTTTTTTTAATAAATAAAAGGTGTTGCAGCACATAGATTATGGGGGGTGGGTATTTTTAATCTTTATAATAATTAGACTAAAGTTTGAGTACGCAGGAGTTTCTGGTCTTCTATATATCTTGAGTGGGCTGAAAAGACAAAGTTACTGACCTGAAGGCCTCATTTTGAAATGAAATATAGTAAAATGCATTACTCTCCAAATAAATCAATGCCACATGTTTGATCTGTATGTGGTAATGTTTACCTGTGTGAAAATGTGTCGGCATTCTATTAAACCTTTATTCCGTTGGGGTTTTAGCTAAACCTGCCTCTGAACTGAGTCCACATCTAAATAAATGTTTATTGATTTCTGGATGTGCTAACACAATGAGGAATGAGAAACCAAGACAAAATCAATGGTGCTTCCCCACAACAACAAGCCTTACATGGCAGCCTGAGAGTTTGACTCACCAGAGCAGGAGCATTAACCACCGACAGGTTGTAGCCGTAAAGGAACGATGAACCGAGGGCCCCAAAGAAGGCTGCACTGAACAGGCAGGCTGTGACCGGCTGCTGCTGAAGGAGAAAATAAAAACGATCAAATACAGAAATCCATGCAAGTCATACAGGCTTCATCAACATTCATCCATCCTTCATCTTTACCCGCTTCTTCCTCATCAGGTCACTGGTGCCCATATCCAGCCATCACTATGCAACACCCTGGACAGGTCTCCAGTCCATCACAGGGACACGTAGAGACAAACGAGACAAACAACCATTCACGCTCTCTCACACCTAGGGACAATTCAGAGTTACCAATCAGCCTAACGTGCATGTTTTTGGTCTGTGGGAGGAAACCGGAGTACCCGGAGAAAACCCACGCATGCACGGAGAGAACATGCAAACTCCAACCAGAAAGGTCCCCAGCAGGGATTTGAACCGGAGACCTTCGCGCTGAGAAGCAACACCTCTACCAACTGATCCATTATGCTGCCTTCATCAACATCAAGGTCAAACTAATTTAGAATAAAATGTTTTGTTTTTATAACCAGTTTTAAGCTCAGAAATATGTTATATATCTTTGAGATCATTAAATACTAATAACACAATGTTTCGTTCAAGGAAGCCAAAGAAGCTTTTCTTGAAATTAATTTATGATAATAAAAAATACAAAAAATCAAGATTTGTTAAAAATCTTCCATCTTAAAATCATTATTTGATCAGATATTGCTTAGCGACAGTGACAATCCTTCACACAGCAGCGCTGCAGACAATATGAGCAGCAGCTGACGTCGACGACACTGAGCCGCTGCCTTCATCAGCATCAATCCAAGCTCCCGTTGTTTTTATTCAGATAATCTTTGCTCGGCCATCATGCAGAAGCCATTTCCTCACATTTTATTGTCCTTCTTAGAGACTGTATTTTCAACTATGCACTTTAATACGACCAAAGGAGATGTACCCAGAGATTTTACATATTCATTCACTGAGTAATCCAGAAGGAAGGCAACATCTGTGGGTAATGCATCTTGTTGAGTAAAATGAAACAGAGCTACCAAACCTAATAGAAAACTGAGAGATTTCTCATCTTTAATGGCTTTACGTTGATACCATGTGAGTTGTTGCCTGTGTCTCGCCAGTAAACAACTTGTTGTCCCTTTTTTTAACCTTTGACCTCTGAGGTTAGTAATGGTGATGAGTTGTGACATCAGCTGGTGGGTTGTGGGGAAAATGTACAGAAAGTAATTTCACACTACTTTCCCAAAAAAGATTCAAATTTTGTCTGGAAAATCTACTTTGCTGCCTCAACCACAAACTTTACACATAAACCATTTTGAAAAGCGCAACAACAATTTGGCATAAACTGTCCGGGAACAGCTGCACCGAGGAAATGTTGCACGTCTGGCAGAAGATTATTTTAAAGGCGCAAATCATCTAATTAGCCTTCATAAGTCACTCAGATGGGTTTGGATAAGTAGAGTAAATTCAGTCATGTTGCAAATGAGATGCAGCCAAATGCCACATTTGTGGGTTGCATTTATTTGTTTGTGAAATTGAGCTTGAATGAAAATCTGCCTCTCCGTGCCGACTGAGCGCAGATCATCTGACGTGTTACTCATGTGGCTTCTTGTATGTTCTTTAGGGCTCATAGTGCATGTCAGGAATGACTCTCAACTACTCTTACACCTTATTTTAGCTCGGTATCTTTAAAACTGAACCACAAACTGATTTAAAACTGGAGGTTGACTCCAAATGTTTGTTGGTTCACTGGATATTTTGCTAACAGTCAGACAAACACGCAGGCAAGTACATTGTTGCTGGGTAATAAACAAATAATTTTAGAAAATTGTGTCTAAGTTATACAGTGGTGGGATGTAACGAAGTACAAGTACTTTGTTACTGTACTTAAGAACATTTTTCATGTATCTGTACTTTCCATTACACTACATTTCTATAATGTGTTGCATTACAAGTTACATTCACGTTGTGTTTTTTTTTAATTGTTTGTTAGTTTGAAAATAACCAATGGCGAGGGGAGTTGATCCACTGAATCACAGAAAAGTGGACAGGTAATGTTCAACCTGCCTTCAAGAAGAGCTGGACCAATGACGTATATTCTAGTATATACGTCATGGAGCACCGCTAACACCCAAAATGGATTCCACCGCCGAGAGTCAGCCAGAAGATACGTGCCACCCATGGCCTTACTGAAAGATTATTGAAAGACTCCTCAGTACAGCAGGACAGATTATCTCTCCCTGAAGAACCAGACTGGACTCAAGAAACTTTGAAAACCAACTTCTTCTGCACTTGAACAAGAAATTCTTGCTGCAATATTAAAATGGTAAATGGACTGTACGTATATAGCGCCTTTCTATCTAATCAAGATACTCAAAGCGCTTTACAACACAACCTGTGTCCTCATTTACCCATTCATACAGCACTCTACTAGATCTCTACAAAGCCAATTGAACAAACCATTCTAAAGAGGCTAATCAGAGCTTTATCACATTCATACACCGATAGGACACACATCGAAGGCGATGAGGGGTTCAGTGTCTTGCTCATGGACACTTCAGCATGTGACTGCTGGTGGATTCGAACCCCCAACTCTTGCATTGGCGGACAACTGCTCTAACCACTCAGCCACAGCCGCCCCGCCAAAATGTGTCAGTTCATGGATGTTAGGAGACAAGAGATGTCTCCAAATGTCTCGACACTCAGGTCCAAGTTTTGAAAATGGTGTCAGGAAGTTAAAATATTGTTCACTATTGACCCATTACAAGGTCGACTATACAGTATTTTAACTAGATCTAAAAAAGTTCAATCTGGTCCTCTGGACATTCAAAAAACTAAACAAAACAAAAACAAATGTAGACACGTTTCGTCTTCCATCCGAGAGACTTCCTCAGTCTGAGGTGCTGTATTCAGCTCAGTCTCTTAAATAGCACCTTCTCAGAGTGGATCAACCAGTTTTGCTGCTGACAACCAAAACCAGCTGATCACATGGTCAAGAAGGACCATCAGCCTAACAATGGATCATTAGCACACTGATGGCTGTTTACTGTTCACAGAGGGTTGAGTGATACTAGCAATCACAGCATTGTAAGAGGGGGACAGTTGAACACGAAGGCTCCACCTAGGTTTAACGATGGACGATTTCTTTTCACAAAGATGGCCTCCTTTACTCCTCTCTCAAACCATCGTTCCTCTCTATCCAGGATGTGAACATCTTCATCCCTGAAAGAGTGACCGCTGGCCTGGAGATGAGTGTAGACCGCAGAATCCTGGCCAGAGGATCAGACTTACTTTTTTAGATTTTTCTACCTGAATTATTGAGCATGTATTAGGACACTTGAACTAGAGTTGATGACAAACTGGAGTTGAAATGATCAGAGTCTGTTCCTTTGTCAGTTGTGTCTGATGCTCCTTTTTTCAGGCAGACAACTTTTACTTAAATGTGTTTACTGCAGTTAAAATGACACATTGGTTTTGCTTTGTGTTAAATAAAACTTTCAAAGGTATAATCATTCCTCTTTCTTATTTTGATTAATGGTATTTAACTCTGCAGGTCATCCCTGAAATTCTGATGCACAGAATCACAAGTCCAAGTGTGAACGGTGTCACAGAGTAAACACAATAAAAACATGTATTATCTGCAGCATTGTTCATTAAAATGACTAAACACTTTTAATGTAGTACAGAAAATATACATATGTAGGTACACTTAATGATATAGTAGACCATTGCATTAGGTAATACATTCAGCAAGTACTTTTACTTTAATACTTTAAGTATTTTTCAAAACAAGTACTTATTTACTTTTACTTAAGTAAAAACGTTAATGTGGTACTTCTACTTTTAATAGAGTACATTTTTGTCTGTTTATTTGTACTTTTACTTAAGTACAGTGTTTGAGTACTTTCGCCTCCACTGAAGTTATGTAAGTAGACACAGAGTAAATATTACTCTGCGTTTTGCTTTTTGAAGTTAGGTTAAGGACAAGTTTTTGTGGTTAAGTGAACAAAAAATCAAGATAGAAAGTGTTGGAAAAAGATAAAGAGCTGAGGTCTGAGAGAACAGCTTTTGTCAGTGAGACATGCAAACCATTTAATGAGTGATAATCAAAATGTTTTGAGGGGCTGCTGAAATTCCACAGCATCATTAACCCATTTGACTCTCAAGAAAATTAGTATTCTTAGCAGATTCATGACATGTTTAAGTTTATGACATATCCAGAGTGGAAGAGTGACGTTTAGAGCAGACGGTGAAGATGCTGAGGAGCACAAATATGTGCATCGTGAGTCATACTCTGAGTAAAATGAATCTGTTGTGATCTTTGCGTCACCAAATGTTGGAGAGGATGAAGCATGTGGCTCATCGTTCTGGCAGAGGAAGGCTTGAGGGATGGACCACAAATATTTGGAAACACTCTGCATCTTTTCTCTCATTACTGCAACAATAATACACGTTAGACCAAATACTAAAAAATGATTACACAGCTGTAATAACTGTAAATCACCTAAATGAAAAGCATCTGTGTACAGTGTTGACACAATGTCCTAACAGGATGAGTTAGTGAGGCTGCAGAGGGGACAGGACAGGATGGAAGGTTGTGACTGAGTCTATTGAAGGAGAAAATTCAGACAAAATCTAAAAAGTTTAAAATCTGAAGCGCAGGAGAAATTCAGCCAAGCGTGTTCAAAAGAGAGTACAGCAGATCTGGAAATGTAAGAAATGTGGCTTAAAGGTGCCAGATATGTGTGTTTATTTTCTGTATAATCACAATAAATCACAGCTGGGAAATAAAGAATAGATGATTTCTGCAAGATTTCTCAAAAATGTACGTATTTTTATGTACGAGCCAAACAAAAAGTGCAAATGCACCATGATGTGTTTTGGGGTTGGTGAGGTTGCAGCCAGGGCTTAATTTGTAAACCGATCGATGTCGGAACGCAAGTAGCGGACAGGCCGGTGGCTGGGGGCGGGGGGTCTAGGGGGTCCTCCCCCAGAAAATTTTGAATAAAGTAGATGTGATTTCCTGCATTTTGGTGTATTTTAACATGTTGTTAAACACCTGAGTGAAGTTGCCCCCCACCTTCTTCAAATCTATCAAAATCGGTGTCAAACGTTTGTGCTACATTTGTGTTGGTTTGTGCAGAAAAAAATGTGTTTGTGCAGCTATCATTTTAGAGATATTAATAAATGTTTCCAGAGGTCAACATGTACAAAAGTACATCGTGTTTGATGGCACCCCCTGGTGATCAGAAACAAAATACAGCTCATTGGGTTTGTTTTTTGGAGGCGCTGTACTAGTTCAAAATAATTTTATCAATGTTAAAATTAATCTATTCGTGTTCATAGTTCAGCATCTAAACATTTTTTTAATGAAATGCACAGTTCCAACATGCACAGATTTTCATTGACCTTTGATGACCTCTGGAAACTTTCTTTTTTATTAATATCTTTAAAATTATAGCGGCGCAAATGAAAATTTTTGCTGCACAAACCACTACAAACATTTGATTCAAGTTTCGTTAATTTTTGAAGAAGGTGATGGGGGGAGGGCAACTTCACTCAGGTTTACTTGACGGTTCCAAGCCCAACACTGCTCGTTGCTGTCCGAGTCCACATGTGAAACCTCCAGGTGCCTGTGGGCTCCTGCCTGTGTACGACTGCCTGGTTAGCTCGGCACGCATCCCACCACTCTTAGGGGCGGAGATTATTTAAAGGGTAGATGCGGAAATGCTACTTGAAGGGGCCGCTCATATGCTCCTAAGTGGCTGTTGTGTTTAAAATTAGTGTTTATGTAATTATTTTCAGTTTGCATGTCCAATATAGATTTTATTCATCCAAGGCAGTCATATTTATTCATAACTTTATTATTAGGGCGGCTGTGGCTGAGTGGTTAGAGCAGTCGTCCTCCAATGCAAGAGTTGGGGGTTCGACTCCAGCAGCAGTCACATGCCGAAGTGTCCCTGGGCAAGACACTGAACCCCTCATTGCCTCCGATGTGTGTCCCATCTATGTATGAATGTGATAAAGCATTGATTAACCTCTTTAGAATGATTTGTTCATTTACCTTTGTAGAGATCTAGTTGTGTTGTATGAATGGGTAAATGAGGACACAGATGGTAGTGGAAAGCACTTTGAGTGTCTTTATAAGATAGAAAGGTGCTATATAAGTACAGACCATTTACCATTTGCAAATTATATTAGTAAGCTTGAGAGTTACCGAGGCCAAGCAAAGTTACCGGAACGCACCTTGTCAAAATAAGAGCGTTCCCGGATCCTGTTCCGGCAGGATCCGGCTCAAATTAAGCACCGGTTGCAGCAGGTGATGAGCGTCTTGTTGATGGTCTGGCTTTAAGAAATTTGACAGATTCTACTGCAAATTCTGAGGCATAAACTTGTTTCTTGGGAAATACAAATCTCTGCATTTGTCACTAAATTATCTGGAAGTTCATCCGGTGTTCTCTCATAGAGCTCAGATATTTCAGCTGGACATAATACAGTGAACAAAACACACAAATAAGAAAAAAATAAGAGTTTACTCAGAGTAACTCTGATTATTTGACTTCTGTCTTTTGTGTCCTGAACAAAAGCGATGTGTTGTAGAATAGGTGATGAACTACATCTGAAGTAAGTTTAATTTTTATTTTTCAAACATGTCAGACTAATAACTTTAAGCTTTTAAATTACTATTAAAAAAAAAAAAAAAAAAAAGAACTCAAGATCATGAGAAGCATTTTTCAGTGGGAAAAAATATTACTTTCCTGATGCCAGTCAGTAAAAAGCAACATCAAGAGCTATTAATAAAGATGAACAAGCAATGCAATTTTAATCGTTAACTATAATAAATATAATAAAATTGTAATTATTGGCAATATATAAACTTGTAAGAGCATGAAAAACTCTGGTATAATTTACAACACATGGGAGCAAATCTCTCTTCTTATTGAACATCTGGTGATTCAAAATGACGTCACCTTGTTGTAACTTTTTAATTTCTAAGATGGAAATGTTAAAAAATATATGTTTTACTTTTGACAGCAGAAACCAAATTTCTGGCTAGGTTTTCAGTCTACTTTTATTCTTCTGCAACACACTCAGTTCAGTCTCTGATTTCACTTTTTTTCTTCTTTAGAAAATCACCAGTAATTTATGGCAATCGTGTGATTCAGGTCATGATGCTGCAATTTTCCTTCCTAAGATTTATTAAATGGAGCATTTTATGCCTTCACAGGTAGGCAAGGTGAGACCTCCAAATATCATCTGTCTAGCATCTTTTGCACGTGTGCAGCTCAATACAGTCACACCTCGACGTTTCACCAACACATTTTTATTCCTGGATGTGGCTCCACAAACTGGGAAATCTTTACATGTTCTTTGGGATCATTTATTCAGTTTTAACTAAAGACGAGAATGTGATTATTGTCCTAAATTTCTTGGCTGTCATTCATAATAAATAAAACCTTTATCCTCCATAAAAACTTTGCTGTTTGTACAGAGGTGGTAACTGTGTGTTACTTCAGCTGCTGCAGCCACATGTTCACTGGTTTTGTGCTCCTGATTGCAGCTGCAGCAGCTCTGGTTTATCATCAGCTTGTTGTAACATTGGGCTCATGGACCTATGCAAAGTCTCAGTTTTATTTTTTCTTTGTGGAGTTAATTTACATCTGGAGCCAACATGCATACATGTAGAATTTAAAGACTGCTCAGAGGTGCATTTTTTTCTGTGATCATTGATTGTGTAATATGAGCACCTTAGTTGATTGAGTTCGACTGTTTCTACATTTATTTCAAACTTTGTCAGAATTTGTTTAAAATTGGTCAGAAGAGAAAATACTCAGAAATAATTGTGTAATCACAAACACGTTTGAAAAAAAATCATGGTTTAGTACAGATTACATCCCCAAACTACATCCCCAAAGCCCAAATGAGTTGAAAAGGAGGTGCCGTGGATGCATGACCGTCTACCTAGAGGTGGTGCTCGAGCGCCTGGCCGCCGAGATCTTAGAGGTAACGGGAAATGTGGTTCGTGACAGCGGGAGGACAGAGATCGTCCCACGGCACCTCCAGTTAAGTCCGTGGCGACGAGGGGTTCGGCAGGCTGCTGGGAGAAATGGCCATCGCGCAGGGTTGAGTTCTGCCCAGCATTCAGGCAGTCCTGCTGCCCAAGAGGACCTAGAAGTATGATGGGTCTGGGTGGACGAATTAGGATGATGCGCTACAACAACAATTAATCTCTCTTTGAGATTAATAAAGTATTTTTTAATTGAATTGAAAAACTAGAAAGCATAGTTTCCTCGAATGATAGGGGTGAACGGTTTACATGTGGTGGTGGCCATGTTGGATTTTGACACGACAACCCCATTTTGAAAAGGAACCTTTCTTACGCTGAGATGCAATCACAATCCTTCAAGGAAGTTGGCCCGTTGCTTATTTTTCAAGTTATCCATCTCACAAAGTTTACATATATATGGTGGCAGCCATCTTGAATTTGACGTGGCAAGCCAGTTTTTGATAGGAACCTTTATTGCACCTAGGTGTATAATGAATTATGAATTATTAATATTAATCTGATTTGGTCATCGGGTTATTTTCAGCATGGAGGTTAATCCTCAGCACGCTGCATCCTGAAAATAAATGTTTTGCTATATGCAGGTATAATCTGAAATGCAGTAATATTGTGCATAGTCTGTATCATATTGTCCAACCTGCATGTGTAAAATAACACCAACGGGTGACCTATATGGTGCTATCTGGTAGTCAGATCTAATTCCTCATAAAACGTGATGTTTCATAGTATTTAGCACTTGTCAGAAATAAAATAATAATTGAATGATCCAAGCCATAAAGAACTGAGCAACTTAATCACACCAACCTTTCTGGAGCTGTTCTCTGAGCTGCTCTCTGTGTGGTCAGTCTGGCTGTCCTTCACTTCGTCCATGTTCAGGTTTCAGCAACTCTGAGCAGAAGGTCGTAATTTGTCACACGAGACATCTAGTTGATACAGAATACCCACAGGAGCTGAGGAATCATTTCACAAGCCTGCAGGAACTGGAACTTCTTATACACAGTAAAATATACAGTGCTTGGAAGTTTGTGAAGCCTTTACATTTTTCTATATTTCTGCATGAATATGACCTAAAACATCAGCAGATTTTCACACAAGTCCTAAAAGTAAAGAGAACCCAGTTAAACAAATAAGACAAAAATATTATACTTGGTCATTTATTGAGGAAAATGGTCCCATATTACATATTTGTGAGTGGTAAAAGTATGTGAACCTTTGCTTTCAGTATCTGTTGTGGACCCCCCACCCCCGTTCAGTTATAACTGCAACTAAATGTTTCTGGTAACTGTTGATCAGTCCTGAGCACCAGCTTGGAGGAACTTTAGCCCATTCCTCTGTACAGAACATCTTCTGGATGTTGGTGGTTTCCTCACATTAACTGCTGCTTCAGGTTCTTCCACAACATCTGGATTGGATTAAGGTCAGGACTTTGACTTGGTCGTTCTAAAACATGAACTTTATTCTTCTTGAACCATTCTTTGGTAGAACCACTTGTGTGTTTAGTGTCATTGTGTCGCGGCATGACCCACCTTCTCTTCAGATTCAGTTCATGGACAGATGTTCTGACTTTTGCCTTTAGAATTCTCTGATATAATTCAGAATTCATTGTTCCATCAATGATGTCCTGCCGTCCTGGCCCAGATGCAGCAAAACAGGCTCAAACCATGATGCTACCACCACCATGTTTCACAGATGGGATAAGGTTCTTGTGCAGGAATGCAGAGTTTTTCTTTCTCTAAACATAACACTTTTCATTTAAACCAAAAATTTCTATTCTGATCTCATCCATTTACAAACATGTTGTGAAGATCAGACTCTGATAGATCCTGTTCTTTAAATCAAACAGGGCGACCACTCACACCTGATCATCATCCCATGGATTGAAAACACCTGACTCTAATTTCACCTTCAAATTAACTGTTAATCCTAGAGGTTCACATACTTTTACCACTCACAAATATGTACTATTGGATCGTTTTATTTAATAAATAAATGACCAAGTATACTATTTTTGTCTCATTTGTTTAACTGGTTTCTCTTCATCTACTTTTAGGAAATGACAGGTCCTCTACATGTTGACATGCAGCACACACAAAAACAGAGAATTATAGAGGAAAGGTTGGTCACAAGTTTAAACACTAATCCTCACAAAGTGCCTTCTAAGTAATTTAATACAGTTTAACTCATTTTAAAACATATTTATTTATTTATTCAAGACAAATCTCAAGTGTCTGTTTTTTCCTCAGCTCTTCAATGTGCAGCAGTAAAGGTGGGATCCCACGATCATCACACAGATAACAGATTAAAGACTGAGTCTGCCACCTAGTGGGTTAGAAAGCTGCTACATTACGATTTAAAATAAAATAACTGGTTAAAGATTACAAAAAGAAAAAAAATAATAAAAGTAAAGATTACAAAAAGAGGAAATTGGCATTTTAAGGCTTTAAACTTTACATTCTAACTAAACTCACTAATTTGGAGGGTCAAGTGTATTTAAGTTCAGAATAAAAATATCAAATGCTACATGAAGTTCACTCCCAGAATTTATGGTTTTCTACTGGTTTCTATTTTACACTGAGCAGCATGAAGTTATTGTCTGGGAATTAAATGAGTAAATCAAAGTACGCTCATCTGCATCCCTGATGGGAAGCAATTAAAATCCAAGCAGGACTCTGAGTCAAACTGTGCACAAATTAAACCAGCTGCTCAGAGACTTCTTGAGAAGCAGCACGTTGTGACCGCGCTCACTGAAACTGAAAAAGTCGTCCATGCCTGTACATCAACAACATCATCATGTTGAACTAAGACAAGAATAACTCCTAAACCAAAGACAGAGCCAGGGTTTATGTTCAGCTGTAAACTCTGTGATGTACCACGAGAATAATGTGCAAGAGAGTGTTTGGATTGGATGACAGTATCTGCAGCCCCCTACATGCACACGCATGCACACGCACACGCTGCAGATGTTCTCTTCGTTGCGTGACATGCGTCAGCAGTCTAGTGTTTGTTTAACACACTGTACAGCAAAAGCCAATGTTAGCAAAAGTCACAAGTATTGATTTTAGGATCCCCTCAGCTCTGTAATCTCAGCGCTGTAATCTCAGCTCTGTAATCTGACCATGACTGTGATGTTTAATGGAAAGTGAATTTATTTGTTACGAACAGAAGGTGCAGAATCATCTATCTGACAGCTCTACACTGTAAAATCAAACATGTTGTAACTTGTTTCAACTTAAAAGAACACGCAAAGAAGTTGCCTTTAGTTTCACATTTAGATTAAATAAACATTGTCCTATAAACCTTATTTTACGTGATGTCGATTAAAAAATACTTTGGTCTGTTTTAGTTTAGTCTGGCTGAATCTGATTCCTTAAAGCAATTGTTTGAACTGGAAAATAAGATTTCATCTTCAATAAAACAGTCAATTTTGAACATGCATGGTCTTAAAACATTTTCTACAAGTGAACTCGTTTATCGTTTCACATCATTCATTCATTCATTTATCACATCATTTATGAAAACAGTTTGTCAAACTGATTGATGTAAGTGGGTTGAAGTGTATTTGCATCACTTTTAACTGACATTAGGCAGAAGATAAGAAAAGAAAGTGGAGAAATCTTATCTGAACCATGTGAAGATTACGCGTTGTGTTTGTTTAAACCTTTACCGACTAAGTTACTGCTCTACTGCAGATAATTATTTTTATTTGCAGATGTGCCTTCACAGAGAAACTCTATTTAAATTTAAAAGTTTCACTCCTGTATGAGGTGGAGGGGGAGAACAGTGTAAACGTTAATAACGTTAAGAATTTAACAATTTTAAAATGCTTATTAACCCTAAATGTTCAGCTATTTTAAAGTAGGGTTATGTACAAATGTTTTGTACAATTAAAGTTGTTGTTTAAAGTTGTAAATAACATTTTGAACAGCCTCAGTTTGGCTCATCAACAGGACTGATGAGCTAATGGCTAGTCTGAGCGCACCTAAAATCAAAACAGATTGCTGTTATCTTCAAACAACTCTAATCTCTAATCTCAAAATTACCAAGCACAATTTTATAGACCTTTACACCATTTAATCTTTTATTTCACATTTATTCCAGCAGCAGAAATAAAAGACGTTTTTGCTGGAAGTAACCCAAGCTGAACTTGAAATGCTACAGCTAGCTGCTGCTGCTAACGTTAGTGCTTGCACACTACAAAAGAACTTTGCCTAAATGTATATAATGCAACATTACCAGCAGTATTCCCACCTGCCTGAAGACTGCCACCATCATCCCAGTCCCAAACAGTGACTGGTCTGAATGACTATCGGCCAGTGGCCCTCACCCCGATAGTCGCTAAATGCTTCGAAAAACTGGTCATGACTCACATCAAAACAACCATCAACATCAACGAGGACCCTCATCAGTATGCATACCGTGAGAACTGATCAACAGAGGATGCCATCTCCTCTGTGGTCCACACTGCGCTCAACCACCTGGAGCAGAAAAACTCTTACGTCCGTATGCTCTTTGTGGACTTCACATCCACCTTCAACACCATGATCCCCCAAACCCTGATGGACAAACTATCCACACTAGGACTAAGCCCCTCCATTTGCAACTGGGTACTAGACTTTTTAACAAACAGACCACAGTTAGTGAGGATTCACAACTTCTCTTCCTCCACCATAACCCTAAGCACTGGCTCTCCTCAGGGATGTGTGTTGAGCCCCCTCCTGTTTACTCTGCTCACGTATGATTGTGCAGCTACCCATCCAGGCTGTCACATTGTAAAGTTTGCAGATGATACAGCGGTGGTGGGATGCATCACAAACAATGATGAGTCCAGCTACAGGCAAGAGGTGGAACACCTGGAGAGCTGGTGCAGAAAGAATAACCTTCACATCAATGTGAAGAAGACAAAGGAGATGATTGTGGACTTCAGAAGGAACAAAAACATCTACACCCCCCTGAACATAAGAGGATCTGCGGTGGAAGTGGTCTCCAGCTACAAGTACTTGGGTGTACACATGAATGACAACCTCAGCTGGAGCAACAACACCACCAGCCTGATCAAGAAAGCTCATCAGAGACTCTACTTCCTCAGACGGCTGAGGCGAGCTGGTCTGGGAAGCTCAGTCCTCACCTCCTTCTACAGGTGTGCAGTGGAGAGCATCCTGTGCTCCAGCATCAATGTGTGGCATGGAGGCTGCACAGCTGCAGAAAGAAAAGCTTTGCAGAGAGTGGTGAAGGCTGCACAGAAGATGTTGGAGTCAGCCTCCCCACCATCACAGACATCTACACCTCCAGATGCAGGAAGAGAGCCATCTGCATCATGAAGGACCCCGCTCACCCAGCACACACACTTTTTGCCCCACTCCCATCAGGAAGGAGGTTAAGGAGCATTAAGTGTAGAACCACTAGACTGAGGAACAGCTTCTACCCTGAGGCTGTTAGACTCATGAATCTCTTACCAGAATAATCACTATGAAAAAAAATCACATCATGTTGCTACTGATCTGTTTCATGTTGCTGCTGATCTGTTTCATGTTGCTGCTGATCTGTTTCAATGTTGATGTGTTCATGCGTGCTCACACACACTCATGTTCATGTTTGTGCAGATGTTCAATGTTTTTATGTTATGAGTGCTTAGTGTATATTTAGTTGATGTTTTTCTTAGTTCATATCTTAGATGTTATTACTGTTTTTCTTGTACATTTTATTGTTGGATGTAACTGGGACCCTGTGTACATAATTTCGCTCCACCACATGTACCACATGAGGTGCGAATGACAATAAAGAAACTCTGACTCTGACTCTGAGTATAAACATTTTTAAATAGCATTTGCGATAATAAATGATAAATTGTGAGGACTGGAGTTATTTTAAGA